AATATTGAGTAGATCATGAAAAACACCCACATATGTTAAGGAAATGCAATATATGTAAGGGTTTGATTAGCCACTGTACTTAATGAATTACTTTAATAAGTAAAATCCATTGGGTAGCACCCACAGTTAATGAGTGTGACTACTAGCAAAAATTTGATTTTTGAACCCTACACCTCCAACAATACCAAAACAAGATCAAAAGACTACAAACTCCTCCAAGACACTTTGTGAAATCAAAAAGAGAAAAACTATGTTAGAAAGTGTAGGAGTGCCTTTTCTCCAACATTCAGATAGAAGATGGAAGTAAAAATCCTCAAACAAAATCTTGCCTCAATCTCATTTGACTAATTTTAGTTATTTTAGTTCGTGGCTATGATTCATCCCTTAAGCTGTGAATTGCTGAGGAGGAAAGAGGGGAAAAAATTGACTTAAATGTCAAAGAAGTAGGAACATAAATATAGTTTTCTTTTTTAGGCAACTAGATTTGCAAGATATGGGGACCTTTCTCTCAAGAGGAATTGAATGCAGCAAACTTCTAGAGAAATAATGATCTCCAGTCAAAACATCATCAAGGAATAAGACAACTGATTATGAATCATCCATGTCTGAATTTTTGTTTCCATGGTGTATATGACTTTTCTTTGGATATATTTCATTAGATTACCATTAGAATGGAAGTCACTGATAATCATAGGTAGTTGAGTATGAGGGAAGCTTCCTATGTAAACAATAGTGATAAGTGGAATCCTTAAAAAAGGCAAAGAAGAAATTAATGGAAGGGTAGAAATATGATAAATAAATCTTAGGCATGAGAAGAAATACATGGTTGAATGGTGGTCAGAGGTATTTTGTGGGCTAACAAATAGGGCGCAATAAGGATTTTGGATAACATTGTTCTAAGAAATGTTTTCCAATTTATTCAGTGTCTTGTAGTATACTAGCTACCATTTTGAGTTTTGATAAATTTTTGGGAAAAGATAATAGTAGCTCCTAACTCTTCTATAGAAGCTATGGTGGCCACATGTGGTGGTAAGAAGCTGTGCCACACTCCCTAAGGAATGCGGCTCAAACCCACCACCTGCTCCATGAGAGAAGAATGGGCAATCTCCTCCTGTATGATTTGTTGTTGTTTGCCATGGGGGCGGAACCTACCCATAGATGACCCTCTAGTAGGTTCTTCAGTGTGATTTATTGCCTCTGAAAATTGGAGGGTCAACTATGAGTCAATTATGACTAGATGGCACAAAACAACAAACCTTCCACCAGTATCTTTGGTGGCAAAACGTGTTACATATTTTGCTGCAAACTGAAAGATTGCTGGCTAGAATCCATCAGATGCCCCACAGGAGAAAGACTCACAGTCTTCTTCTGTAAAGATTCTCAGCCTCAGAAACACAGTGGAGGATCACTCTGAATTAGAACTGATTTCTCAGCAAAGTGCATGAGGAATTTTAAAAAATATTTTATTATTTTTTAAGATTTTAATGAAAGCTTATAAAGAACTTGGATTGCCATTCATTCATTGTTGCACATTTTCCTCCCTGTCCCCCTATGAGGAGATTTTTAACTCTTTTATAAGGAGCCCTGATGACAAAGTAGTTGACAAGCCGAGATGCTAACCTAATGATCTGAGACTTGAATCTACCAATTATTCTCAGAGAGAAAGATGAGCCATCTGCTATATTAAGATTTATAACAAGCTATGGCTGACTCTGAAGAGAATGGGAATCCCAGAACATTTGATTGTGCTAATGTGAAACCTATACTTGGACCAAGAAGCAGTCGTCAGAACAGAGCAGGGAGACACTGGATGGTTCAAAATCAAGAAAGGGGTCCATCAGGGATGTATTTTGTCTCCACACCTTTTCAATCTGTATGCAGAACCAACCCTGCTTTGCTGAAACTGAGGAGGACCTGAAGCGCATGCTGCAGATGGTCAAGGACTGCAGTCTTCAATATGATTGAAGCTCAATATCAAGAAAACAAAGATTCTCACCACTGGGCCACTTGGCAGTATCAGTATGGATGGTGAAGAGATTGAAATTTCGTTTACTTGGTTCCACAGTCAACACTCTTGGTAACAGCAGCCAGGAAATCAGGAGATGAATTGTATTGGGAAAGTCAGCTCTGAGGGACCTCTCAAGAGTACTGAAGTGCAATGACGTCAGGCTGGAGACTAAGGTGCACCTGATCCAGACTATAGTCTTTGCAATTATGTGCTATGCATCGGAGAGTTGGACAGTGAATAGGGATGATAGAAAGAGGATTGATGCCTTTGAGCTGTGGTGCTGGAGAAGAGTGTTGAATATACCAGGGACTGCTAGGAGAACAAACAGGTTTGTCCTGGAGAGGGTGAAGGCAGAATGTTCCCTGGAGTCAAGGATTCCGAAGCTTCATTTGACATACTTCGGACATGCTACAAGGAGGGACTGGTCCTTGGAGAGGGATATCATGTTTGGCAGAGTGGAGGGCCGGCGCAGGAGAGGAAGACCCTCGGTGAGATGGATCGATTCTGTGAGTGGAGTGGTAGGAATGAATGTGTTTGAGACAGCGAGGTTGGCACAGGATAAAATGGCATTTAGGGCTCTTGTAAACAGGGTCGCTATGAGTCACAAACGACTCGATGGCACATAGCAACAACAACAACAACAACCACCTGACAGAGGACTGCCATGAGTTGGAATCTGTTCCAGGGTAGTGGACAGTGGAGAGAGATTTTCAGATCCACAGTTACTATTTGCAAGAAGGGTTCTTGAGTTGCCCTCACTCCACATCTTGACCCACTACTTGTATTACATAATGTGTTTTCTTCCAAGTGGGTGTATTTCACTTTCTGAGTCCTTGTTAGGTCTGCCAAAGACATCCACAGTACAGTGAGGAACTCTTTCCATGTTCTTTCTCCATAATCAGGTTTTTCCTTTTGTGGCAGTAGTATAGGCACACAGGAAAGGCAGTAGGTGAAACCAGAAAGCAGAGGAGAGAAAGGAGAGCTACTTCTCTGGTGTTGGTTTTCTGATGCCATGGGTATTAAATGTTGATGGAAACTACCCACGTGACCTGTTGAGAGAAATTTATGAGAGGACTCACCTGTCTACTTCTTTAAAGTGAAACTAAACAAATTCTCATTATAAAATGAGCCAACTATTTTTTTAGTATTAAATTTTCAATGTTAATATTTCTTGGTTTATAATCTGGCTTGTTTCTCTTTGACAGCTTTAGCTTATTTTTCATTACTGTTGTTATGTGCCATCGAGTGGCTTGAGATTCATAGCAACCCTATGCACAACAGCCCTAAACCCTGCCCTATCCTGTGCCAGTCACACTGCCTCTGACACACTCATCCTGATTACTCCAGTCACTGAATCAATCCACCTCATAGAGAGTCTTCCCCTCTTGTGCCGTCCCTCCACCCTACCAAGCAGGATGTCCCTCTCCAAGCACTGGTCCCTCCTTACAACATGTCCAAAGTATGTCAGACAAAGCCCCAGAATCCTTGCCTCCAAGGAGCAGCCTCATTTAACCCTCTCAAGGATGAATCTGTTTGTTTTCTTGGAAGTCCAGGGTACATTCAATACTTTTCTCCAGCACCACAGCTCAAAGGTGTCAATCCTCCTTCTATCCTTCCTAGTCATTGTCCAACTCTCTGATGCATAACAAGTGATTGCAAGGACCATAGCTGGTATCAGACGCACCTTAGTCTCCAGAGTGACACTACTGCTCTTCAGTACTTTGGAGAGGTCCCTAACAGCAGACTTTCCCATCGCAATATGTTTTTTTGGTTTCCTGGCTACTGGTGCCAAGAGTGTTGACCATGGAGCCAAGCGGACTAAAGTTGCTAACAATCTCAGTCTCTTCACCATCCATCCTGATGCTGCCAATTGGTCCAGTGGTGAGAATCTTTATCTTCTTGACATTGAGCCTCAATCCATACTGAAGGCTGCAGTCCTTGACCCTCTGCAGCAAACATTTCAGGTCCTCCTCAGTTTCAGCAAACAGGGTTGTGTCATCGGCATAATGCAGATTGTTAATAGATCTTCCACCAATCCTGACGGCACACTTCTCCTCATAGAGCCCAGCCTCTCAGATAATCTGTTCTGCATAGAGGTTGAAAAGGTATGAAGACAGGACACATCGCTAGCGTACACCTTTCCCAATTTTGAACCATGCAGTGTTTCCTTGCTCTATTCTGACAACTTCCTCTTGGTCCAAGTATTAAATTGGTTGTTAAATGTTTTATTCTGCAGCATTATAAAACGTATGATTAGTAATATATACTTATCCACAATATGGAATAAATGTAAGTATTTGAAAAAAGAATTATTTGTAGTATAATTTTCAGGCTCCAATAGCATCCTGTCTCCGGGGTCTAAAACTCTTATTTTTCTCTCTATAAATAGTCAGAATTTGCTAATAATAATAAATTTTAGTACTTTCATTAGTTACACTGCTAGCTTTCTGAAATCAGCTCAAATGGAAATAAGAACTCTTTCTATTTTTTAAGATAAGAAATCATTTTTAGGGTCTTACAAGTGATGATATATATAATGTGCCCCAATTAAAAAATGTATAATACAGACTTTAACAAAATATATAATTTTCAAGCACAAATTGTTTCTCCAAGATTATATACTTTTTTTAGTCGATTTTCTGAAAAATTCTAGAATTTTAAAAAGAGGCTCCCTGAAGATTTAGTAGCTAAACAAATATTGAGGGGTAGCAATGCATCAGACATTTTATTTTCAGAAGCTATTCTAGATTGTTTCAAACCTTCCCAAAGTTTGTTGATGTAGCTGATGGTCTATGTAGTGTTTATGTGTACATCAAGGGGCTTTAAAGGAACTGAGAGGCACAAGTCACACTCAATGTTATAGGGACAGATCATTCAGTACATCACCACGGAATGGTAAGACGGTATCTGTTCCACTCATGTTAAGGGTCATCCAACCCGACCCTACATGATGGTACAAGGTGCTAGACTTTACAGTGTTAGAAGCACTTACTTGAGCGTGGTGAGTTCTGTAAGGGATGGCTGGGTGGCTTTGAGATAGCTTTCTCTCCTTGCAGCAACCTTGGGAGAAGGCTTGGGACTAGTGTCTGAATCGCCACTGTCTTCATCCCCCATCGCCTTGATATAGCTGCCGCTCCGCATTCTCCGGCATGGAATTTCATCATCTTTACCACGAGGATTATATCCTGACCAGTCATCTTGGGGAACCTGTTCAGACATAAGACACATAAGCATAAATACACACACACACACACACACACACACACACACACGCACGCACGTATATTTTTTAAGAACATCTGACTTTCCCCCCCTTTTCTTTTCAAAAAACAAGACCTTGCATAATACAGACGATTACAGAAAACATTACCGATTAACTTCTCAAGAATAATGTTTACTGTCATTGATTTGAAAATATTTTGTACATTCAAATGTGTTACAATTTTTAAAACAAATTACATCAAGAACTCTGAAACCATTTGGTTCCGATTCATTTGCTCTCTGCTTGTGTGCGCTGATGACAGTTGTTAAGCCAAGCACAAATATGCCATGGAAAGGAGAGTTTTCCCTTTAGAATTTTCAGTTATCCGTGTTCAATCTCCACTTAAAAGTCAAGAGAGTTTTTTTGCGTTACCTATGCGCTCCCTGAACCTTTCTCTTGTATCCTCTATCTGATTTTTCATCTTCCTAAACCAGTGGTCCACACTAGCTACAATCACTTCCCGGGTACCTTCTCTTTCTCAATCCCTCTCCATTTGGGTTCAGTTCCTCTCTACCTCCTCCAAGTACTCTTTGACAAGGTTCTGGTGATCTCGTCATGAAATCCTTTTATTTTCCTATGTCTCTACACATATACACCCCTCCCCCATGCCACTTTTTAAGATGCTTTCCTCTCTGGGCATTCTGTTTACTCTACCCATCTCTGGTAGATATTCTAGGATCTCCTGGTGTTAGCTATCACTGAGCCAGTCATTACTCATTGCAACCCTTGGCTGTGAGCTTTAGGAAGCAGATCGCTGGGCCTGTCTTTCGAGGCAGCTGAATGATCCACCATTTGCATTTTCCAAGGGACACTTAGGGAGGTCTGGTGACCAAGTCTATAAAAAACTTGTGCTGCTAACTTAAAAGTGACACCTCTCTGTCACTTCAAATGCAGCAACCTTTTCCCATGTGCTTCACATGGAAGAAGCCCTAGGGACTTGCTGAAGGGTCAGCTATAAGTTGGTTCCAACTCACTGGTAAAGAAGTTTGATTTGAGCTTGAGGGAATACTTACATAGATTGTTAGTTTTCTTTTATTTTTCTGGATCCTACTGTTTCTAACTGTGAATTTTACACAAAGTTCTCAATATTTTTTTCTCTTCTTTCATACATTTCCTTCAAGTTCATCAACATATTGTTTTACATTTTATGATTTTCACTCAGATTTTCCACTTTAAAGTAAAATCAGTCCAAGTTCTCATACTTATTTCATTTTAGTAAAACAGATGCATAATGACTAGTCTTTTAATCCGTCAAGAAATAACTAATAGTCTGTAGCACCCAGGACACTGAACAAAGCTTAATGAAGATAAACAATACAAAGAGGAGAGGACTGGTCATGTTCTCAAGATGCTTACAGTATAGATGATAAGACTAAGCATAAACCAATTTGTAAAGTTCCATGTAAACATGTTAACAAATTTAAGATGTGGGCCATAAATTATATTTGTTCCTAAGTGTGTCTTTAAGTGGAATTTGTAGGTAAGGAGGAACAGGTGCACACACTTCTTACTGAGTCTTACTTTAGTGCCAGAAAGAGGCTTGAAACCTTTTCAATGATTCAAAAACTGAACACACAGCAAGGTAACTGTGACAAAGAACTTGGTTCAAGTAGGAAGTGTCTTGACAGCAAAATTTCTGTCAAGAATTTCTTTAAAAGTACTAAAGAGTAAAACAACTATGAGATATTATTTCACTCCAGTAAGAATAGCAAAATTCAAGAGAACAGCAAACATCAAATGCTGACAAGGATGTGGAGAAACTGGAACCTTTATTCACTTTTGGTGGGAGTGCAAAATGGTGCAACCACTATGGAAGGCAGTATGGTGCTTTCTCAAAAATTTGCAAATAATGTTCATTGCAGCTTTGTTCACAATAGCAAGAAGTTGGAAACAACCTAAGTGCCCATCAACAAACAAATGAATAGAGAAGCTGTGATATATTCACACAATGGAATACTATGCTGCACTGAAAAACAAGGAACTCATGAAATATTATACAAAATGGGTGACCCTGGAGGACATTATGCTGAGTGAAATATTGCATAGGACCACTGTTGTAAAACAGGACTGACACAGGGGTTGGGGGAGACTGAGGAAGAGGAGATAAATAATGCATACTGCCCTGAATCAGATGAGGGAAAGAACTGTTTAAAAGGGATAAGTTGACCCAACTGAGTGTGGAAACTACAGAACAGTGTCATTGATTTCACATGCAAGCAAGTTTCTACTGAAGATTATCCAAAAACGATTAGAACAGCACATCAGCAGAGAACTTCCGGAAGGCCAGGCTGGGTTTAGAAGGGGTCATGATACTAGGGATATTGTTGCTGATGTTAGATGGATCCTGGCTGAAAGCAGAGAATACCAGAAGAATGTCTATCTGTGTTTCATTGATTATGCAAAGGCATTTGACTGTGTGGATCATAACAAACTGTGGCTGACTCTGAGAAGAATGGGAATCCCAGAACATTTAATTGTGCTAATGCGAAACCTATACTTGGACCAAGAGGCAGTCGTCAGAACAGAGAAGGATAACACTGCATGGTTCAAAATTGGGAAGGGTGTACGCCAGGGATGCATCCTGTCTCCATACCTTTTCAACACGTATGCAGAACAGATTATCCGAGAGGCTGGGCTCTATGAGGAGAATTGTGGCATCAGGATTGGTGGAAGGTCTATTAACAATCTGTGTTATGCAGATGACACAACCCTGCTTGCTGAAACTGAGGAGGACCTCATGCACTTGCTGTGAAGGGTCAAGGACTGCAGCCTTCAGTATGGACTGAGGCTCAATGTCAAGAAGACAAAGATTCTCACCACTGGACCAGTGTCAGGATGGATGGCGAAGAGATTGAGATTGTTCACAGCTTCAGTTTGCTCAGCTCCACAGTCAACACTCTTGGTACCAGCAGTCAGGAAATCAAAAAGCGTATCGCGATGGGAAAGTCTGCTGTTAGGGACCTCTCTAAAGTACTCAGGAGCAACGGTGTCTCTCTGGAGACTAAGGTGCGCCTGATACAGGCCATGGTATTTGCAATCGCTTGTTATGCATCAGAGAGTTGGACAATGACTAGGGAGGACAGAAGGAGAGTGGATGCCTTTGAGCTGTGGTGCTGGAGAAGAGTCCTGGTTGTACCATGGACTGCCCGGAAAACAAACAGATTCATCTTGGAGAGGATTAAACCAAGCTACTCCTTGGAGGCAAGGATTCTGGGGCTTCGTCTGACATACTTTGGACATGTTGCCAGGAGGGACGGGTCCTTGGAGAGGGACATCATGCTTGGGAGGGTGGAGGGACAACGCAGGAGGGGAAGACCCTCTATGAGATGGATTGATTCAGTGACTGGGGTAATCGGGATGGGTGTGTCAGAGGCAGTGCGGTTGGCGCAGGATAGAGCAGGGTTTAGGGCTGTTGTGCATAGGGTCGCTATGAGTCGGAAACGACTCAATGGCACATAACAACAACAACAACAACATGATTAGGTATTATTGTCATGACAGGAGTCCAGTGGAGTGGACCTGGGGGGAGGGATTGCATAACAATGAAAGAGTTTTTCTTCTTCTTTTCAAGAAGAATGAATTAGGAGGAAGGGGGTGGGTAGGGAGAAAAGTGCAACAATGAATGACTGGAAACCCTAAGTCTCTGTAAACTTTCATTAAAAGTATTAAAAAAATAAATAGGCTATTGTAAACATATAACAAATGAAAAAAAAGTGCTAAAGAGCACAGATGCCAGTTTAAAGACTAGGGTATACTTGATCCACGCCATGCTATTTTTTAATTGCTTCTTATGTACCTGAAAGTTGGGCAGTGAATAAGGAAGACTGAAGACAAAGCCAATGTCTTTTAATCAGCATTGGAAGAGTATTAAATATACCAGAGACTACTAAAAGAACAAATAAATCTGTCTTGAGGATGTAAAACCAGAGAGCTCTTTAGAGGCAAGGATAGTGACTGTTTCACCTATTTTGGGGTTTGTTTCACGTATTTTGGGCACATTTTCAGGAGGTTATAGTCCCTGGATAAAGACATCATGCTGGGAAAAACAGGGTCACTCAGATAGAGGAAGTCCCTAAACGGGACAGAATGACATGTGAGTGCAACAATGTGCTTGAGCATGGTGAAGAGCATGACGGTGATGCAGATCAGAGCAAGGTTTCCATAGGGTCACTATGATTCATAGTCAATCTGGCAGTAGCAATGGGCTCCAATATGTCAGAGATTGTGGGGACAGCACAGGATAGGACAGAACTCATATGTGTTGTTCATAGGGTCACTATGGGTCATATTCAACTCATCAAATAATGACAAGATGGAGTGTTCTTAAATGTTTGAGAGCAGGTTTATATAACATTAAAGAGCAAGTAAGAGTTGTTGAAAAGTCATATGTTTGTATCCTGGAGTCTCACTGTAAGTCCTGAGGTGATACTAGAAACAAAAATTATCAGTATTGGTGATGGAGGAGAGTGTAGCCAGGAAGAACTACCTGGAACTGGCCAGTTTTGCAATGAGGAGGCGTAAAGACGTTTACTGTGTTAACATTAATTAATTAATTCATGATTATTCATGAAAATACAACAGTATTTAATTTACAAACATTTAACTCTACTACAAAGTTAATCCATGCAATCTTATTTTATCAATATAATATCCATAGAGGTAAGCACTTTTCTCAGTTTATTTCTGATACAGAAGCAGGGGCATAGAGGGGTGTGATTTGGCAAAGCACACACAGCTCAGAAATGGCAGTACTAGAATTTAAAGCACTTCAGTTTAACTCCAAACACCAGCATTTTAGAAATCTAAATTTTATAATTATTAAGAGGGCTTTAAAAAAATCTAAACTATTAACAAAACTGTCTACAATGACATATCCACATGATAGACATAGATGTTCTATTAAGAACGCATTGTCAGAGAGCTCTGGTGGCCTAGTGGCAAGAAG